CCCTAGATTCAACCCCCAGCACCAAAAATAAAATATTTTTTTAAATGAGAATAAAAACCCATTACAAAGCATCTTACCTAGAAGACCCATGTGTTCCTAGTCTGCCCCTCTGTTCTGTTGTGCTGGTGGGAAGCACTGAAATCTGGTTCTGAAAAGCCTGCTTTGACCAGAGGTCACCACACTGTGGGAAACCGAGCAGAACTATCCTTCCTCTTGGCACAATCCTTATTGACACATAAAATCAGTATAGTTTCAGGCATAGTTACAATGCCTGGAAGTCATTCTTTGCAACCTCTTTGCCCCTTTGCAGCTAGTCTAAGGAACTTAGGACCTGCACTTCATCTTTTTTTCACTGCTCAAAAAGATTCTACTCAGCCAGACACATGCCTATAATCCCAGTGACTCAGGAAACTGACACAGGAGGATCACAAGTTCAAGGCCAGCCTCAGCAATGTGAGGACACCCTGCCTCAAAAATAAAATGAAAATAAGAAGTGAGGATGTAGCTCAGTTCTAAAGCCCATAGGTTCAATCCCCAGTACACACACACACACACACACACACACACACACACACAGATTCTTGTTTTATTCATGTAACTAATGTGTACACATGAACATCCTTGAGACACGGGCCTGACAGCGAAACTTAAAAGCATTTTATCTTTAAATAAATACATTTTCAGTACTCAATACTGTATTTGAGCTACAGTGCAAGGAAAACCTACTAGCTTTAATGAACAAATTAAGTTGCCTTGTAAATCTAAGATTTATGTGGAAATATGTACTTCTGAAGTGTTTGAAAGCTATAAAGTGAAGTACCTCTAGGTACTACCTTATTTACACTCAATTGGTTGAGCAAATCTTTCTTCCTCAATTGTGTAACACTGTATATCTGAAAAATCACAAATACAAACTGGTTTATGGTGTACAAAAATGAAGCTTACAGTATTTATTCACATAGTAAAGATAGACCCTCAAATCTGTCATCCCCAAAATGAAAAACTTTTTTTTTTTTTTTAATCTTGGGCCAAGTGAACAAGAAAGTTATTCATTAATATCATCATAGAAAACTGCCCACATGAAAGAGTAGTAGTAACTGCTGACTTCAAAGAATACTGAGAGTATTTTTTTTAAATTAACTATCATCAGAGCAATCTTTAATTAAACTTGGTTTAGGAATAAAATTTTTAGAAGAAATCGCTACTCCAATTACATTAGGCTATCATAACTCAAGCATGGAGACCTCTGGTCAAAGCAGGTTTTTCAGAACCAGATTTCAGGCTAGCTGAGTTCTTACCATGAGACCTGGTTCCTCTTTTCTGTAGAATATGATCACTCGTCCTCAGCTCCTMTTACTTACTTCCTCTGAAGGCCACAGTCACCACTGCCCACATACCTGCCAGCTATAGGGCCAYCTCCTCCTGGGCCTACTCACCTCCAAAGAAAGTCTGCCACCAAACACCAGGAGTACTAACCTCATGCTCACAGCCCAAATAGTACCCCGTGGCTTACCCCTGGGCTCTAAAGATTGGGGGGTGGGGGAGAATGCATGGATTCAGGCTRTGATGGAGAACTCATGCGGTTCAGTGAAGCCTTTGAAAAGCCCTCAGGAAATATTTAAACTTCCATAGTATATATAGAAAGATAAGTTTGAGAAATCAGGAAGGTTTTTTGTCCCCTTCAAACAAATAGTTTAATCTATGAACAGTGTTGGAAATTAGTTTGGGAAAAACATTACTGTCAAGACATCAAGGAAAGACTCATATTAACAATTCTGTAAGAAACTACAATAACGAATAGCAAAAGAGTCTGACAAAATTACACTAGAAATGGATGAATGGAAACAAAGGAATTGTGGGCCTGCTTTGTATAATCACAACAAATCTAAAAGGTTTTCAATGTCTGGGATTTGAAACTTTCTGCTTTGATTTCAAAGAACATTGTTTGCCAGTCTTGACAATTTCTCACCAAAAATGCAAGAAATTCTGCAATACTGTATACTCTAGAACATAGATTCCAACCCATTACAACAGCCTCCAATTCAGAATTTGAGGAGGAATTCTTTTCACAAAAGTATTCTACCACTTTCACACACAGTTCTTAAACATAATTTAGAAATGTTAAGAATTCTGTCTCGAGAATGTCAATAGATTTAGTAATGCTGAGTACAGAATTTTGTTGATCAACACCACTATAAATGCTTACAAGGCAAAGACTGCAATGGAAAGATTATCTTCAATATGATGGCAAAAGTTTTCTAACAATCCATAAAGAGCTCTTATGAATTCACAGAAAGACATTAATGTTCCAAGAAAAAATGTGGCACTATATCCAATTAAAAAGAAAGAAAACCACTGGACACAGTGGCACACACCTTTAATCCCAGCAACTCAGGAGGCTGAAGCAGGAGGATTACAAGTTAGAGGACAGCCAGGGCAACTAAGCAAGACCCTGTCTCAAAAAAAAAAAAAAAAAAGAGGGGGGAAATGAGGATGTAGCTCAATGGTGGAAGTGCCCCCGAGTCCAAACCCCAGTAACAAAAATTTAAAAAGAAATAAACCAAAAATATTTTTTTGTTGTTCAATACCATTTGTAACCAAAGAAAATGGAAATTTAAATATTGAGGTAGCATCTTTCACCTAAAAAGCTGGCAAGAATATTTCTTCCTTTTTTAGGGATGATCCATGTTAACAAGTACTCTCACAGAATGCTGATAAACATTATTTTGGTTAAAACTTTTTTTTTTTAAACAAATGCTTATCAAGAGACTTTGAACTATGAACTGTTTTTCAAGGACTCCTTCCTAATATATCCTGTCCCAAAGTTTTTAAAAGGATGATTTTTCTAAGAGTATATTTAATAATAGTAACTGGAAATAAACAAAAGTTCAGCTGTTAGAAAATGGTTATATAGGAGCTGGGGGTTGTGGCTCAGTGGTAGAAAACTTGCCTAGCATGTGTGAGGCACTGGGTTTGATTCTCAGCATCGAATATAAATAAATGAGCAAAATAAAGGTTCATCAATGTCTTCAAAAAAATTTTTAACAATATAAAATGGTTAAATAAACCAATACAACTATAGAATAAAATACTGCATAAACACTAAAATAAGGTTTCTGAAGACAATGTCATGAGAAATTTTTATGATATGCTAAGCAGGAAAAAATGGCATGTATATTGGTATATATTATAGTAACAATTTGTTTTATATATTAACATATACGAAGAAAATGTTAATTATATCTTTAGGTAGGTAGGATGATTATTTAACTCTTGCACTTTCTTCTGAATCTTCTAATTTTTATATATCAAGAATGCATTACTTTTGAAATCATAAGATAGTTAACAGGACTATTAAATGACATTAAAAGCTCAAGTCTAATAATTGGAGCTTAGTTTCCAAGAAATAGTATAAGAAATTTATCTAGAATGTCATAATCCTATTAAACACTCTAAAAGTCAACTTTGATTTATTGACATTTAATTAAATGATGCAGACCTCTACCAAACACTATTTTCTCTACAAGAACAGATGTTGGAGGCTGGGGGTATACCTTGATAGGAAGAGTATATGGGTGACAGGCACAAAACTGATCTCCAGCCCCACCCCCACGGCCAAAAGCCAGAAAGAATAGGTGGGAAAAGTCGATGCAAATTACATAAAGAACTGCATGTTACATGTTATTTTAAACTAAATTCGACTCCTATGAGGGTTTTTATTTTTTAATAAGCAAATAGGGTTTGGGGYATAACTTTCTTTATGGAATACAATACTTAAAGAAAAATTCTATAAAAGCAATTTTCCACATTGTAAAGCTATGTAAGTAGGGTATCGTTTTAATTTAAAGTCCATCATTTCCTGCTGTAATCATCCCTAAAAAAGTTGGTCTATGTAACCACAATTTCGATTATGCAGTTCCCTTTGGAGTTACCCATACACTGTTATCTGGGTGTAGTTAGATTTCTTACAAAGGTCATAGGTTCCAGGTAGCAAAGACTCATTTTTTTTTAATCCCCCCACCCCATAGATTTCTTCCTCTCCCAGGAATTCAYTCCTTAAAACTCCACTCCCACCCACCCCCATCCCCAGAGCTGTGATTTAGTGTGATGATTGAATTCTAATCACCTGGCAAAACATGAAAGCTCTCACCCCTCTTGTTTGGCCTAAAATTTTGGTTTTATTCAAACAAACAAAATACACTGGATTTCCTTGCTTAGAACACCGACTGCTTAAAATAGTATTTAACGGAATAGGTGCAACTATGCAGGCAGGCTAAATGAATAATTAACCTCTTCATTCCCCCTTCTAAGGTTAATTATTCCAAGTCAAAATCTACAAATGACCTAGCAGAAAAGAGTATGTCTTAAGATTAGGGGGAGGGGAAGGATTAGGGCAAAAAAGATTTATCTAAAATAAGTTCAACTCCTAAGTCCACTAATTACTATTGAGTCGTCAATAAGGTGGCCTTAACTAGGAGTGGATTTTTTCTAGAGAGCTTGAAAAGTACAAACGAGCCGCAGGAAGTAATGAGGCACAGCGAAAAGACTTAGGAACTGCAGCAACCCCCATGACTCCCACATTTTCAGCCCAGATTSCCAAGCAAACTGCCCAGCGGGAAGGCTAGGGTCGCTGGCCCCGGCGGTTCAAGTGCCAGGTGGGCGGCTTCTGGCTGGGGGTACAAGCTGGAGTATAGGCTTTACCCAGTCTATAGTGAACCCCCCCCCCATCACCCCAGCCGGTCACTTTCAAGGTGACAGCGACAAGATCCGCATCCGTCCCTTCCGCAGGAGCCTCACTGACCCCACGTGAGAACTGCCTCTGCTCCACGGAGCTGCCACCCCACCKTCTCCCCCAACTTTGGCACACCCAAATACGCGCCCCTCTCTTCGGAAACTAGTCCCSTCTCCACCAGTCAGTTGCATTGACCGCGTGCCCCTCGGGGAGAGATCGCCACCGCAGCCAGACTGGGCGGCGGGAATCTACTCAGCTCTGCACTTACCCGCAGCGCCTCGGAGCCAAAGCCGAGCCCTCGGGGGAGCAGCGGCGGAGAGAGCGCTCGGAGCCCGGGCGCCCTTGGCACTCTAGGCGGGGGCGCTCCAGGCCGATCCCGGGAGGACGACGCGGCGGCGTGTGCACCTGAGGCGCGCGGCTCGGCCCCCAGCCCAACTGCACCCCGGCGGCGGCAGCAACGGCTGCCAAGCGGGAACCCGGAGTCCGGGCGTCAGGGCCTCCCCGCCTCCCGGGCTGCCAGGGGGTGGAGCAAGGGCGGGGAGTTGGGAAAACTTGTAAATAGAAAAGCTCAGCGGTCTCAGCTCCAACACCCGCCGCCGCTCTTTCGGAGCGGACCCCTCCTCCGTCTCCCAGCGGGAGACCCAGGACAGGCGAGGTTCCAGAGGGCTGCGCCCCGAGAAACTTGAGAGACGCGCGAGGCGGTACCTTGAGGCGCGAGCCAGGGAGACTCCTGCTTTTCTTGGCTCGACGAGGCTCCTCTCGGCAGGTTGGCGGGCTCTGCTCGCTCCCTCCTYTCGCGCTCCCGTGTCCCAATCCCGAGGCCCCGCGCGCTCCCGGGCTAAGAGCGAGCGCGCCCCCACGCCTGAGGCGTCTACCCAGGAAGGTGCTGCACCTGTTGCCACGTGCGACGCTGGGCCGCGGGATGCTGCCTGCGCACCTGGATGAAGCGCGAGTCCCCAGACCACACAAGTCCCCCGGGCGACCAAAGCTCTGCCAATGCTAGGTACCTAGGGCTGGCCGGGCTACACAGAGGATCAGCSTCCCGCTCCTCCGCTCTGACCACCAGTTCTTCTGAGCCCTCTGACCTCATGACAGAGGTGGGGTCAGTGCATCAAGGGGTGGTGGAGATGGGAGGTGGGAGGGTTGCAAGGAACCAACAGCGAATGTCCCTTTGTGGTTCCCACTGACGGTCTGTATTTGTCTTCATAGTTCTGAGAGGTTTATTAGAAAACACATTAAAGATTAAAGAAATGAGCACTCCAGCTGTTAGATATTAATATAAAAAGTGGAAAGGAGTGTAGAACACTGGAGAGAGAAACCGGGCCCACCCACTTTTCCCTAAACACAAACTGAGTCTTTGCTCTTTGCTTGACTAAGCAAATTTCATCCAAAGCTATTTTCAGCCCATAAAGTGTTTTCTTCTATAAGGCATATTTCGAATACAAAGCTTTTCCAAAGATAATATTSTGCCTATGAGAGATATAACATTAAAGAAGCATTAAATGTCAGACAACCTGAATCCAATTTTTAAAAACAGTTTAATTACCTCACTGGGGTTTGCTAAAAGCACTTTAAGTAAATTTTTTCTGAAGGGGGAAAAAAAATCTAAAGATGCTATATTTCATAGTTGCCTATACCAAGAATATTAGATGAACTCACAGACAAACAGATGTGTTGTTATTTGTAGTTGTACACTCTTCACATATACCATGGTCCATTATTTCTTCATGAGACCCAGGTGTATATAGGTCAGATTATTATCTTCATTATTCTGAGTGAAGAAATTGAAGCTCAGAAAGGTCAAATGACTTGTACAAGGTCATACAGCTAGTGAGGAGCCAGTGCAAACCCAGGAGGCCCAACTCCTAGTCTTATTTTATTCCATTATATAATGACACCTCTCACTTGTTGTTGAGGTCCCTGTTACAAAGACAGACACATAACTAACATGATCTATGACTTTTAAAAGAAGCCATGTGCTTAATTTTAAAGAGAAACAACATTAAGCACCATTGGATGACTCACCCATACACACACACACACACACACAAAAAAAAAAAAAAAAAAAAGAAAAAAAAGCCACGGATGTTTCTGCAAGTCATGAGACAATTATGCTAATTACCAATGTGCCTCCTCCCTAAGCAGAATATTCCTTGTGTTAAACATGTTATTTAATCTTTATAACACTCATATGACCCAGATGACTTGGTCCAACCCCCCACAGTTCTATTGTTATACCTATAAATATAGAACCTGTTTTTCTTCATTTTTCTATGGGATAGATTGAGAGAAAAATAAACAAAAAAACACCCTCTGCCAAGTACTTAGAGCTCCTTTTGTGGGCATTGGGAAATCYGAAACTTCACTGCTAATTGCATCCACATAAAAACAGAAATTATCTTCTAAGGATATCATCAGGGACTCCATCAAGGCAAATATTCATGAAATTGGGCCTGTTGGCTTTTCTTTCCATCTTGGTTCTGGGCATGTTGCCATTTTCTTGATCTCTGAACTCTAATGCTGACCTGCCACAAAACTTCAGGAACAACATTAAGGATCAGATAATAACTCCACATAACTTTATGGCTCTTTGTCATAAGAAAAAATTTAGCATATATTTTTCCTCTTCAAGGAAAATGCAAATTAAAACTATATTGAAAAATAATTTTTTCACTTAAACATTAGAAAGTTTGATAACACTCTATAGAAATGTGAACAGGCAATCGCAGTGCAGATGTRAATATAAATTATAATGACCTCTATAGAGTAATTCACAATGCCTAACAAAATTATAAATGCACATGTTCATTGAGCCACTAAGTTCACATATATGAATTCATCTTACAATACACATAAGAAGAAATGGCATGTACATAAAACCTTGTTTATCTCAACATTGTTTATATTAACAGAAGATTAAAAACAATATAAATTATTCATGAATTAAAAGCTGGTAAATCATGATACAGCTATAAAATGAAGCCTTATTGAAGATCAAAAAAACCCAGAAAGTTCTTTATACTACTATGAAATGATCTCCAAGATACTTAATGTGCAATTTTTTAAACGTATAACACTTATATAATAGTATGTTACCATTTTCATTAAATCAGGGGAAATTATATACACCTGTATGTATGCATCTATTTTTTTTTGTTTGTATAAGCATAATATATCTAAAAGGATACACTACCAGAAATTGATAAAGATTGGTTGCAATCTTAGGAAGGAGTTGGACAGTTTGAGGGAAAAATTTGAATAGAAACTTTTATGAGATATACTTTTGTACTTTTTGAATTTTTAACCATGTAAGTRACAGTACCCATTCCAATATTTTAAGATTTTCATCACTGGAAGTTTTKCCATCAGGAGTGACTAAGTTTCTTAACTAATCTCACTTATAGAAAAGCAAATGATCAAATTTCTCATGCATTAAGGACAGGCCAAAGAAACTACTCAACCTATTTTTATCCTTTAACCCTATTCTTTCTCTAGTTCATCTAAAAAGGGAGAATTTTAAGAGAAAACTCTAACAAACGTGCATGTGAGGTTGGTGAAAATGATGAGTTAACAAATTCCTTAGAATTTTATTAGCACTGACATCTCCCCAGGGTAGAGCTTCCAGCCAGCTTTCCCAGAATCACATTCAATCAGAAGGAAAAAAGAACCCCATGCCCAATTCTCAAGAGGGAAACTTCTGTGTGTTGATGAGCAGTGAGGAAGTAATTCCATGRGAATTCTGTGGAGTCATTTTACTTTGTTCCCAGTCTAGGTTTCTTTTTGTTGTTGGTGGTGGTGTTGTGTTCTTAATAGGTACTTCTACCATCACGTCATTGAACAGGGATTTGAACAACTCTAAAAGGAACAGTAAATTTTAAACAATAACTATTWAGAGGTACAGTGTTTTTCATATATAGGGTCCCAGGAAAAGCACTAAACATACCATTGAACAAGTTAAAACACTGAACTGTGGTAGCCCAGTGCCCCAACCAATTACTTAATTAGCATTTTCAAAAGGGRTTGATTCCTTAAAGGAAACAAAACTACTACTAAGCAGTGAATTCCAAGAAATTTTTTTCATTCTCATTTTCTAGATCAAAACTACTAAATGGAAAAAAAAGCCCAATATATTATTAAAATATTGTAAGAAACTTTATATGTTTTTTTTTTTCATAGTGGCTTTGGATAAAAACCAAAAGTATGATATTAAAACTCCACTGAAGGAAGGTATTCATCCAATTAGGGACCAGGCTAATGTCCTCCCAGTCTATAACTGCATAAAGGRATCAGAGATGGGCTATAAATAGAGGTGTGTGACAGCAGCTCCTCCAGATAACCTTCTTAAAGTCAGATATGCTTATGGTAAAGTTCTAACATCTCCACAAATCTCTTGCCTTAATAGGTAGTCACAGTTGCTTTATATAACATTCCAGAAATTTTCCAGTCAGTCAGCCACGGGTGCGGAGAATTGGTACAATTTGTAGTAATCTTCAACAAAGTCCCCAAATATTGGAATTTTGTGATACAGTTGATTTTTCTTTTCTATTTTCATGACCCAAAATAAAAATGTTTTGTTACAAATAGCCACAGGACTTTTTAACTCCTAGATTCCAAGTTGGTGGGCTGCATGGTCAAATACACAAACTGGCCAGCTGAAGTAATGATTACATAACAAGAAAATGAGAGCAGTGAAKTATCCTAATTTACTTACAAATAACTCTCAGGTTTCTTACTGCCTATTCTTCTTAGTGGGWTTGGAAACTCAATTGGACTGTTTTCTTCATGYTCCAGAATGGGGACTATYAGAGTAAGGTTGTTCTAGCAGAAGTCTTCCCATTTTTAAATGGAGTTTACCAAGAATAGAGTTACTCATTGCAAGTTCATAGCAGTAGMAATAATGAGGAAATGTAGCTTCCTTTTATCAGAATAACCTGAGAGCATCTGAGGAACTCTTTCATCTCCCCAAACTGTGAATTCCACCTTCAACAGCCCTTCTCTTCCATTTATAGACTTTAGAAGGAACCATTCTTATAGCATGATGCCAAAATTATTTTAGTTCACGCACAAACAAGTTGTTCTATAATTCTTCTGTAGGCCTTCTCATATTAGGAAGAAATTAAGAAAAATATAGCACTACCAGTTTGTTATGCAACCACTTTGAAAGTGTTTACTTGGAGTGCTTAAAATGTCATGACCAAAGAGACTACGGGGCTGTGTAATCCACTCTTGACCATGAATCATAACTGTGTCACACTTGAACTTAGTTAGGCTTTGCTCCAATCAGATGAAGTTGTCCCTTAAAAAGAGGATGTATTTCAAATTTTAAAGGATTTGCTGCTTTATGACAAATATTACAATAAATCTGTGGCTTCAAGGTCTCATACCATTGAGATTATGATAGGCCACCTAGACTTTTTGAATGTGTTTTCAATTTATGCCTCTGGTCTTATTCTTTTGATTAAATSTAAGCTCTGAGAAAGCTGGATGCAGCCTTCCAACTTGTCTCCATCCCCTTGGGCTATCAGTGATAAC